GTCTATTAGTGATCACAAACTCAATGAACAAAACTTAATCCAATGGTCTCAATCAGTGATGCTGTTTGTTTGTAGAAAAGGTAAGAAAAATTATCTCATAGGACTGGTTGTTTTACCCAACAAGAATGACCAGAAGTATCGAACTTGCAAATTAGAGAATAGCATGGTAATGTCATGGTTGATCAATTCTATAACTAACGAGATTTATAAGAATTTCATGTATTACAAAACTACTAAAAAGATTTGGGATGTTGTGAAAAAAACCTACTCCAACGTAAACAATACATTTGTAGTATTCAATATTAAAAGCATCTATATGACCTACGGTAAAAAGACTCTTCTATTATAAAATATTTTAATTTTTTAACTCATTATTGGTAGCAATTAGATATCTTTGAAGAAATAGCATGGAAGTGGCTTGACGATAGCCAACAATATAGAAAAATAGTGGGAATGATTGAGTTTATAAGTTTTTACTTTATCTAAACATGAGCCTTGATAATGTTTATGGGAGAATTCTTAGCATTAAGCTATTACCCAGCATCCGAAAAGTTTTCTCTAAGGTCTGTCGAGAAAAAGGTTAAAGAAAAGTGATGCTGAAGACATCATGCAATCTATAAAATATAAAAAATTCAACCATTGCTATACGAGGACCAAAGTCCTACCGAGGTGATGCAAATCGATAGAAAACAAGTAACAAACCTTGGTATGACCACTGTCAAAAGGCAACACACATGAAAAAATTATTGACAAATCCATGGGAAACCTGCTAACTACAAACCATGTTCCAACTGAAATCGAGAGAGTCATGAAAATTTTGCCTCTACCGAGATAACTCTAACACTTCCAGAATTAAGCCCGTTCAGTAAATAGCAGTTGAAACTCCTTCAAAAAATTGTTCAGTAATTTTTTCATAACACTAGATTAGTTCTAAGCATAACATCTGTTACATAAAAAGGTAACTCTTTCAATGCTTTACTTGTGCAAAATGAAAATTCAAGATCTTGGATTATTGATTCAGGCATATTAGACCACATGACTGGTGATGCATTGGTGTTACATGAATACAGCTCATGTTTTGAAAATCTCACAGTTTGAATAGCAGATGGGTCACTTTCCCAGGTAGCAAGGACAAGTTTAGTCATTATTTCAAAGGATATAACATTTGACTTTATTTTTCATGTCCCGATTAGATTGCTACCTTCTGTCTATTAGTAAAATTGCGAGAGATCTTAATTGTGTTACTAAATTTCTTTTTAACACGTGTGAATTTTAAGGTTTGAATTCGGGGAAAAAATTGATAATACTATGATATGTGCTGGACTCTATCATTTTAGAGATGAAGAATCTAAAAGACAATTATGGAAGAATGCTTGTTCAGTTTCATCTTCTAGTAAGAGTTAAGAAAATACAATCATGTTATGGTATTATCATTTAAGACATCTAAATTTCCTTTACCTTAAAAAATTATTCCCTAATTTATTCAATAAAGATTCCAAGTTTTGTTACCTTTATTGATGATCACACCAGAGTTACATGGCTATTTCTCATGAAAGATAAGTTAGAGGTTAGTTCAATATTTTAAAATTTCAACAAGATGGTGCAAACTCAATTTCAAGCAAAAATTCAAGTGTTTAGAATATATAATGAGTGAGAATACTATTACTCAGTTCTTAGATCTTACTTGTTAGATTAAGGAATTATTCATCAAAGCTCATATATTGAAAGTCCTCAACAAAACATAGTTATCGAGCGAAAGAATAGACACCTGATGGAAGTTACATGATCTATTATGCTAGCCTCTCATGTCCAAAAATATTTTTGAAGAGAGACAATCCTGACATAACCTTTCTTATCAATAGGATGCCTTTTTGAATACTAAAATTTCAAACCCCTTGTCAAATACTTTTCAAAACCCACCCTCATGTCTAAATCATTTCTTTCATACCAGTCAAAGTGTTCAGATGTACTATCTTTTTCATATACACCACCAACAACAACAATACAGTAAACTAGACCTCAGATCACTCAAGTGTATATTTCTTAGCTATTCACCTAACCAAAAAGGCTATAGATGTTATTCACCAACTATCAAAAAGTTTTACACTTCTATATATATCACATTCTTTGAGAATTAGCCATTCTATCCCAAAGTCAATATTCAAGGAGAGAGTTTTAGGGAATATCAACTTTGAAAGATTGAGTCATCATCTGATTCTTCCTCTACTTGTCTACCAATTTAAATTCTCATTTAATAATTTTTCTTATTCTTTCGAGCTAACTAGTTATCTTGAGTCTCCAAAATCTTCTAAAATCGTGTAAGAGACAGAACCTAAAGAAATGATTGTATATTCAAAAAGACCAAAATCTCAAAAGGAGATAGGGACATATACATCTCCAATACAGAACCAAGATTCTGAATAAAATCCAAGGATTTTTTAAATTTATATAGGTAACATAATTATTGAACCTATATTTGATGATTTTTCTAATGATCTTGATCAGCTTATTGCTATAAGAAAAGGTGTAAGATCATGTACTTTGCACCCTATTAGTAACTTTATTTCTTATGAAGGGTTCTTTCCTACTTACCAAGCACTGGTTACATCATTACTGATGTTTATATATCGAATACCATCCAAAAAGTGCTCAAACAACCAAGGTGGAATGCTGTGATAATGGAAGAAATACAAGAATTAAAAAAAATGGCACAAAAAAAATTATTGATCTTCCTAAAAGAAAAAGCCCAGTGATATGTAAATGGATTTTTATTATCAAACATAATATAGATGAAAGTGTGAACATATTCAAAGCTCATCTTGTGGCTAAGGGATTCACTCAGTCTTACAAGATTGATTATGGGAAAACATTTGCTCTTATAGCAAAATTGAATTATGTTCATGTGTTACTATCACTTGCTATAAACATATGGTTTCTTCACCAACTTGATATAAAAAATACATTTCTGAATGGTGATCTAGTGGAAGAGGTCTACATGAAAATTTCTTTGAGGTTTGATAACCAAGACAACATTGACAAGATGTGTAAGCTTCATAAATCCTTATATAGCCTTAAACAATATTTTTGCTCTTAGTTTGATTGTTTGACAAAGGCTATTAAAAAGAATGGGTTCTTACAATTCCAATCTGATCATATTATGTTTGTCAAACATTCACCAAATAGCAAGCTTACTATTATGATTGTTTATATTGACGATATTGTCTTCACAAGAGATTATGAAAAAAAAAATAATTGGATTGAAAATTCTACTAGCTAAAGAGTTTGAAATAAAAGACTTGCGACAGCTTTAATATTTTCTTGGCATAAAAATAGCTCGATCAAGAAATGGTATTTTTGTCTCATAACAAAAATATGTACTTGATCTTTTCAAAAAGACAGGGATACTAGGGTGTAAACTAATGGATACTTTGATAGACCCAAATGTCAATATGAAAACCAGATATGGAAGTCCTCTTGCAGAAAAAATAGATACTAGAGACTTATGAGAAAATTAATTTATTTGGAGTATACTAGACTTGACATTGGCTTTTATGTAAGTATGGTAAGTAGATTTATGAACAATCCTACAAAGACACACGTGGAAGAAGTATATCAAATCCTTCAATACTTGAAAAAAAATCTGGGCAAAGGGTTACTTCAAAAAAATACTAAGTAGAGATGTGAAGATTTTCTTAGATACAGATTGGGCTAATTCTGTGATAAACCAAAAGTCAATTAAAGGATATTGTACATAGGTGTGGGGCAACTTGGTCACTTAGAGGAGCAAGAAACAAGTAGTGATAGCTTGAAGTAGAATAAAGCTAATTTTAGGGTTATGTCTCACGAGATTTGTGAAGGAATTTGGCTTGAAAGAATGTTACATGAACCAAAAACATCAACTGAGAATTCAATGAAACTATTTTGTGATAATAAAGCAGTTATTAACATTGCTAAGAACCTTGTTTATCATGATCGAACGAAACATGTAGAGATTAATTGCTACTTCATCAAAGAAAAGATTGAAGAAGGCATAGTCAAACTAGTCTACACTCTAACAGAACATCAAGCAGTCGACATTCTTACCAAAGTTCTTTATCGTGGCAATTTCAAGAATTTGAAATCCAAGTTGGGTATGATTGATATCTACCACCCAATTTGAGGGGGAGTGTGGAAAATTGATTCTTAACTAGATTTGATTAAGTGTCATTTATTTAGTATTTTGGTTGTTTCCTAAATAAAAGAGATTTGGTTCATTGATCAAATTCCTACTTGATAGTTTCCATTTTTGTTAGAAAATGTTTAGGTAATTTGTTATTATTTTGAGGCTATCATGAGATTTGCTAGATTAGATGTTTTAGCTATATATATACTTCTCTGCTCTAGAAAGTTTCTTATGAATTCATAAATAAAACTCTCATTAATTTTTTCAGTTTTACAATTTTCTCCATTATGCTAATATGATGGATGATTGTTTTAGAATGGGAAATGTTAAACAGTATTACACATTTGAATTTCAGTAAGCCAATGGAACTTGATTGCCTTTTTTATGGCCTCCCAAATTTCTTGCGATGATTAGCAACATCACCTGGGAAGCAAGGTGATCATGGTAGCAAGAATCATTCTAAAAACCAAAATAGCTTAAAAAATGATGTTTACATGCCTTCGACTCTTATTCCACCCAAGGTTCGACCTTTTTGCATGATTTAGCCCAACAAATGGTTTAAGCTGGCCACCAGCAACAATTGTTTATGATCTACAGCTGATACTTTTTCTTATGATCTAATACTAAGATGTTTATTTTTTTTTCTTAGTGGTTATAACTTTTGAACTTTATGAGTATTTGGTAATTCATTTCTGTAATGATAAATATCATTATTAACGTTTCACTACTTTTCTTGTTTATGCTTGATATAAGTAAGGAAAAACATAGTCTTGAAGTAGGCAAAGTGTGAAATCTCAAATTTTTTTTAGCCAAAGTGAAATATCATATTTGTGTATTTAATACTATATTAGAACTTTTTTATTCTGGCAAGTGAGCTAAGTAATGCAGTTGAAAGATAGGTTTTTGTTGCTCTGCATAACTCATAATTTTATAGTCATTTGACGCATATATCTTCATTTGATGCAGACATCTGTTACTCATATGTCTTCCCAGAGAATCGGTACGAACTATCCTTTTGTTAATTTCTTGATGGCAATGGAATTAGATTTTTTTTATTAATGCATTAGCATCAACATGGTGCTTTCTTATAGATGGCATGAGCAATACCGAAGGAAAGAAAATGGCCGAATACTTAAGTGTCGATAAAGATATGTTCTGGTAGCAAAATCTAAGAACCAGAGATTGGATAAGCATATGGATTAGATCTACAAAAATTTATTTCATTTGTACATGCTTTTTCATATAGTTTTGTGCCTTTTTGAACATATCCAAATGTACATGAAGATTACTTATAAAACATGTAGATATAATGGTTATGAATACAATCAAAATGTGAAGTGAAGCTTTTGAACCAAAATTAGATCATTCTTAGTTTTAATAGGATAATTTTTTTAATTAAATTAATAATAATAATTAATTCATATTAACTGCATATATTATTTTAAATTAAAATTCAATTACTTTAATAAACCGAATGAAACCAGACCACATGCACTGGTTCAAATAATTTGAAACGGGAAAAGTATTAAATTTGATCGTTAATTATAATACAAATATAAAATTTTCTTTTTTGGGCTTACATATTATTTAGTCATTTTATTTTTCGAGATTTTTTTTAAATTTTTTTTATAAAAATAACTATCCGCGAAGAATTCACAACGCCTGGAAGGGAGGACACTGGTGGTGGCAAAAAGCGCGGACCAGCCTCAATCGGCCCAGCCTCTTCTCTCTTAGCGATGCCCGGCTGGCACCCTGGCCCTTCCCTCCAGGTTCAATCAACCCTCCTTTGCTCACTCTCTTCTTTCTGTTGTCTTCTCTGATATCAATTTCAGGATGCAGCGAGTTACATAAACAAGGAGGTGAGGCTAATAAAACTCGACAAGCGACTCGTCGTCGAGAGCCATTTGGACAAGCGTTGGGAGGAAGCCACCGGCGAGACTGTCAACGACGTCGTGTTTCTCAGCAAGCATGTCGCTTCCTCTACTAGACCTGCCCTTACTATTCATCCCATAGATATTCAGTTTTTTCATTTCTTTCTACGTTTATTACACTATATTTTAATCTCTCTAACCCTGAGCTTTTATGGTGTTTTAGGCACGCCGCACGTGCGTGAAGGTGAGGCTTTGACTGCCGGCGGAAAGCCAGGATGGGCTGCACCACCGAACCCGAGGATAGGACCGTGGTTTAGACTCTTGAAGAACATTGCTCATTCACATAATTTAGTTCCTGAATTTGAGGTAATTCAATGCAAGACATTATAAAAGTTTACATTTCAGACGTTGTTATTGGCAATTCTTATACATAATTATAGCTCGCGGAAATCCAGTGCTTAGCTCAATTGATTCAGTTACTTTTAAAAGGTAACATCTAGCATGTTGAGATCTCAAATCCCAGCAATTCTTTTCCCTATTCTTAAGCTGCAGCCTCCTTTCTACTAAAAAAATTAAAGCTCGCTGCTTAGTTGTCTGGTTCAGGGTTTTTAAAAGTTTGTTTTTTGTTTGCATATTAGTTTTGGTTCATTGAAAAATGTATAGATTTGCATATTTACAAACTTGTAAATCACTTAGATTATCCTCGGTGCGTTTCACTTTTTTTTTACACTGTTTGAGTGTGTTTTATCATGTTGTAGGTCACGTTGGAGGCTACTCATCATGGTCCTGAAATCAATTCACCAACTATGTTTGTGGAAATTGGTAAAACCGTAGTCACTGCTTGTTTCGCTTTCAATGATCCTATGATTTTTTCTGTTACTAATTGTTGTTCTTTTTTTTTTTTTTATTTGGTTTTGAAATTTGCATTTCTGTTTTCTCTTAGGTAGTGCAGAAGAGTATTGGTATAGGCAGGATGCTGCACAAGCCATTGCTCTGGTGGGTACCTATTTGTGAACATAGTCGAATTCCCTTATGCCTGTTAAAATGAAGAAAATCTAATTTGATTTAGATTCTGTAAATACAACCCGATTGAGACATAATTGTTTAAAATCCAAATAGTGCTGTCAATTTAATCAAATTGACTGCAATTAAGTATTAGCAAATGTAATGCAACTAACTTTATAAAAGCAAAATTCTTGATTGAATTCACTGTAAGAAATAAATGCTGCTTTTCTCATTACTAACTGATAAGTAAGCATATTTGCTATGCTTATGATTTTTAATTCAATATGATCATGTTGGCATTTGTGCACCCTCATCAGCATGAAATGCATGAGCATGTGTTGCATGCGTGATTGAGGTCACCAGAAGAAATTTCATTTGACTTATATCCACCATGTCGGCAGTCACTTCATAAGGTACAGCTTTTATACCCTTGTTTCTCTGCTGAATTCACTTCATCAATATAACTCTGAAAACTACCTTCATTTCCTGCAGCTTGTACACTCCTGCTTTCACTGTTTTCAATTTGCATGATTTATAGACATGGGATGCTAACATTAAGGGATAATAAATGTTTTTTCATTTTGGAATGAATTTTAATAATATGGTATTTGAAGTTAGTGTGGGAAGGACTGGGTCTTGGAGGAAGAATTGCAGTAGGAGACCGGAAAAGGTATAGTCCTGCTAACCATTTTCCTACTTTGTTATGAGGGAGCTGCCCCATATGAATAATTAATACAGGACATTTTTTTCTTTCTTTTCTTCTTTTTTTTTTGAATAATAACCTCAACACATCAATTTAATATGGCTTCTCTCTCTTTCTTTCTGCTGCGTAGTCATTAAAAGAAGTGTAAGGATTCCTAAGTCTAGTTAATGGCTTTTCTAAATTCTTTATCATTTTTTTGTATTTTGTAATTGATCTGCTTTGCAAGATTTGATGACATTGACATTATTGTATGAAATCTTCTTTCCTTTTTGTTTTTTCTAAATTTTACTTTATATTCTGAGAAGAATTTCATATTGTAGATAAAAGTTATGATAGTAATCCTTGGTAAAACAACGATTTTAAAATCAAACTGACATATGGGATTGAAAATAATGACCTAGTGGAAGAAGTCAAAGAAATAGATAAAAAAATTTTTTTTTTCTGGGTTTTCATTCATAATAATTTCTAAAACTCACTTACTTTTGCCTGTGTTCATTAAAGAATATAATGATGCAGGGGCAATGATAGAAACAAAATCCTTCTTGGTATAGGTGGTGGCCATTATGTACCCAGGCATATGGATATTGTTCAGAAAGTTACTACCCAAGCTTCTGGCACCCCTATGCTAGTTTTAATTTACATTTTGTTAGGCATTGAGAAATTGTATTCCTCTATTACTCTTTACTATGTTGACAACTAGCACTTGACATTATAGCCTATTTCTGAACCTATTTGGATTTTCGACATAAAACCTATATGCCATACCACAAAATTTTCAGGAAAGATGGTGTTTGGGTGGGCCATCTGCTGTCTGGCTATTCTCTGTTGCTGGAAGATCCTGGAGAAGCAAAAGTACCAGCGAATCCAATGGATGTTGGTGGAACTTAGAGAGAAACAATCAGAGTTGCATTTGAGACCACCAAATTGGCTTTTCCTGGAGGAGAAGTTCTAGCTCATCTTGATCACAAGTTAGTTACTGCTGTGAAAAAAATTTTGTTTAACCTTAATATGGAATAAAACTGTTAACCAAATCTACCAGAAACTTCTAATAGAAAAGAGGGAAAAAAACAAAGAAGATTACGATACTATCATATCCACATTTCAAAGAAAAGCAAATGTGGACTCATAGTAGAGTTCCTAAATTTATCATAGCTTCTGGCATATTTTCATATAAGATCTTGGCAATTAAATCATGCATCGATACATTTGATCATTGAGAATTACTAAACAAGGAGTGATTTTTGAGGTAAACATTGCCCTAATAACTGAAGGATAAATTGTAATTTTTCTTTATGCATTAAGTTTAGCTCTTGCCATGGCATAAAGGACTAGTTTTCTGATGGATCAGTTCAGAAATTTTCGGTTTAAGCTGGTACACAAAACAATTGTGGTCTTAAATCTGCAGACAAGCCTAAGATATGGAAAAATTATGTTTAACTTGTTTTAGCAAATTAAAAATTTCAGGTTCATTCAAGAAAATCACTTGTTTAAGATATTAATAATTTTATTTCTTATTTTAAACATGCATGTGGGAATATTTTATGTTGCCACCTATAACCACCATGTAAGCCACTATGCATTTCATCGTAGTGGAAGGTTAAATCAATCAATATGTTTGATTTGGTTGAAAGATGGTGATTTATTTAGAATAAGATGGTTTCACATTGTGTTTATATCTTCTCTCTAGTTTTTGAGTCCAGAAAAGGGAAAAAAATATTTATAGACTAATACTGCTACTTTTTGGTGGATTCAGGAGTTTCAAGAGCTGGCTGAGAAATGCCATTACAGGGTTCTTAGCAGAGCAGAACATAAAGATTGGCAAACCAGGCGACTTCTGTCCTTGTTAAATGCTGCCAATGGCTGATTCTTGTGACTATAGATTTTTCCTGTCAATGCAGTACAAAATTACAGCCTAGGGCAATGTAAAATTCGTTGAACTAACCCTGAATTTATAGTTAATTCTATTTTTCAATTCGAAAGGATGCTTTGTTGGTTGACTATACATTTGCTTTCTTTTTATGCAAGCGACGTAAGTCCATGTACTATTGACCTAAATAACCATAGTCGATCTTTTTTCTAAATCCATGTATTTCAGGATTTTTGAGGTGGACGTTTGCTATTATGTTTCAACCCTAACAACTTGTATATTCGTAATATATAAAATATTAATAATTTATGGATTTATGTAGAAAATTATATTTAATAATTATTTTTTAAAATTTTTATTAAACTCTTATAGTTTTTATTAAAATTTTAAATTATATTATTTTTATATTTTTATTAGGGTCAGTATTTTTTTAGTGTCGTAATGTCAGCCCAAACATATAGACTTTGAAGCAAACTTGATTATTGGTTTCATTTTGCTTTTAGTCTTCTCTACCGTCTCACTTGAGTTTAGGTGAATGTTTGCCATGATGTTTCAACCCTAAAGATTTCTTCTACCTAAACACAAGTCTTAGCTAAATTTGATAATTTTTATATTTATGTTATGTAAAATATTAATAATTCATATATTTGTATTTATTTTATATAAAAATTATATATTATAATTTGTATCGATATAAAAAATATATAATATATTTTTTTATTTTTATTAAATTTATATATAATTTTTATTAAAATTTTAAATCGTATTATTTTTGTATTTTTACATGTCACGATTTGAACGGCAGATCTAATATCGGGCCATATAAATAGACTCTGAAGCAAACGTGATTATTGGTTTCAGTTTACTTTTGGCCTCCTTTCTCTACCGTGCCATTTCAGTTTGAAATCTAGAAGAAAAATGGGCGCAGAAGAAGCTTCCAGGCAAGAAAGCCAGGGTATAATCTTCATTGAAATTTTGGCAAGTGGCAGATTCATTTCCTTGGATTGATGCAGAATTTCACTTCCCAACACACTAAACGTGTCTGATTGGGGAACGACTTAGAAAATCAGGGCGAAGCTTCAGTCAACTAAGAACAACATCTCCATTATATAGGACATCTTCCTTTTCCCTAAACTTGCATCATTCAGACATTTCTTTTTGAATGGTAAGCATGGCATTTGCAATCAAATTTCTGCTTCTCATAACATTTCTTGCAGCTGTCTGCACCACAGATGCCTTGAAACAGAAGGTGACTCGCATCCAATTTTACATGCATGACATCGTCGGAGGCCCTAAGCCAACTGCTGTCCGAGTTGCTGGCCGCTCCAACTTCACTAGTCGAGACCCCATTGCAACCATGTTCGGGTCCATTTCCGTGATGGACAACCCTCTGACGGTCGCCCCAAACATCAACTCAACTTTAGTTGGGCGTGCTCAAGGGATCTATGCTATGTCATCACAAGAAAATGAATTCAGTCTTCTTATGACTCTTACTTATGCTTTCACTAGTGGACCTTACAATGGTAGCACTTTTAGCGTCCTCGGCCGCAATCCGGTGATGAACAAAGTAAGAGAAATACCGGTCGTTGGAGGCACCGGAAAGTTTAGGCTCGCTCGTGGATATTGCCTTGCAAGGACCTATTCAATGAAAGAAATGGATGCAGTGATTGGATATAATGTAACTTTGCTCCACCATTAGCCATCTTATTCTAAGACTAAGAGTATTATAGGCATATTGGTGTTTACTGTTTAGGCTATCAAAATTGTTTGTGGTTTGTAGATTTTCAATCCAATCTTTTCGAGAGTGCTTTTTTTTTTTTTTTATCAAAAGGGTATACCATAATTTACTTAAATTGATTCATGCAATTTATGCAATCGGTTTGTAATGTTCTCTCTATCCACAAGTTAAGTGAAAGGTAAAAATATAATAAAAAATAAACATCAATTCGAAATTATAATATTTGATTCGATTCGGATCGAATTCAAATATTAAATATATATGAATTTCAAATCGGATTTTGAATTGAAAAGTGAAAAATTAAAAATAAAATCAAATCAAATCAAATTATATATTTTTATTAATTTATATATATTTTTTAAATTTTTATAAAATAAAAATAATAATTTTATATCAAAATTTACTTAAATATCTTAACATTTTATATTAAAATAATATATAAAAATAAAATATTTAAAATTTAAAAATCGTTAAACTAAATCAAATCGAATTGATAAAATTTGATTTAATTCAATTCGAATCACATAAAAATTTAATATAAATTTAAATTAAAATTTAAAAATTTATAATATTACACGATATTTAAAAAATTCGAACCGAATTAAATCGATCCAAATCATTATCACATTTAATTACGGCTTGTTTGGTAAAAAAAAATTGGCCCATTATATCAAAATAAAGAGAATAGTAAAAGAAGTTGAAATTTTTGTTAAACATAATAAAGACGGGTTGCCAACTATTACCTCCACAAATTTCTCTCCTTTTTTTACCATGTGAAGAATCATAACCGACCCTTCTGGTCATCATGAGCTCGCACTGTTAACTCCCTTATTCATTCCATGCATTTCTCTGGTTTTCAAATTCAAATGCTCATTTCCCTCTTCCAATTCAACCTCTGTCTCTTCCCCTATCAAACTGTTACAGAGAACAATAGGAAAGACATCAACCAACATAAAAATGACAAAAACAATGTGCACTCCATGGACATTGACAAGGTTTGTTAGATGGAGAGTAAGGGACTTGGCTTCATGTTTCTTATCTTGCAGGTTCCCTCTAGGTAAAACTGATAACAATAACTGATAAGTTGGTTTTACCATTTTTTTTCTATACCCAAATCTTTGTTTAACTCAAGAAAATCTTTTTATACCATTTTCAGGAGACTTGAAAGCTATTGTAGTAACCTGACAATATAAATTTTGTACAGAATAATTGCTTGTTGATACTTGGAAATCTTTGTGATCATGAAAGTTTATTACATTGCCAAGTATCTTGTCCAATAACCTGTGTTGATGTTATTTGTTCAATTGCAGAAGAAGAGCGAGATACACATCGCCCTTCATCGCCTCAATTTCCTATCAGAAACATGGTTTTTGAAACAAAGGATGACACCAGAGATAAGAAGAGTAACAAGAGACTGTCACGGCGAAACAGATGCAACAAGGAGAGACAGCTAAACCAGAATCCAGCAATTTCCAGGAACATTGCTTCAGTAGAAAATGGGAGTGACAACTCAAGCTGGCCATGTTTTCCTGATGAAGAATATATAGTCTTCTGCTTTAGAGAAGATGGAGCTTTTGATGTTGTGAGGGATAATAGCAAATCCGAAGAATCCAATCAATCCAACATAACTAAACAATTTGGTTGGGAACAGCTTGATCATGCCGAGGATGCAGAAAGAGATAAGCAGAGCAGTGATGAGGGAAGATCAAAAGAAGATGGATATGAGGGAGAGATCATTCCTGCTAAACAGGTAAGGTTATATTTTCTGTTGAATCTGTTTATGATCATTGAGACTTTTTTCAAGTTAAAATCTGAGAAATACTTGAATTAATAAAACAGTGACAGAACATAGAACACTCGTGAAAATTAGTATAATGTAGTGCATGCTTGCTACCATGATGCATAAGGCTTGAATAGCAAGCCCGCCTCATTGCTTCATCTATATTAGCAACAGGTTTCTCTGGAAATGGTTCATCGAGAACATAAAGCATCTTTTCTCGCTTTAAAACAAGCTTGAGATTGTGGAACTAATCATTGACGCTAGGTAGAAATTCAAGATCATTTCCTTGTTGGATATATAGCAGTGAGACTTTTGTCTTTGAAGAGATTTTCAAGGTGGGATTTCACTTTTACATTTAGGGTGATGGAGAAAGGAGCAGCATCTACTTGGAGGTAGAACAAGCTTCAGGTAGCTTAAGGAGAAGACATCAGGTGGAGGAGACACCGACAGCTAACCGGGGGAAGGTTTCTGTTGAATCAAGTGGCTCTAATCAATCTGATGGCAGCACAGGATCCTTTGCCTTTCCTGTGTAAGTATTGGAGGAGAACTTTGGTTAATTGACTGTTATTCAATACTATTATTTTCTGGTCCTAGAAGCTTATGGCTTGATTGCTTTGGTGAAAACTGTTGGATTGCAGGCTGGGATGGGAGTGGATGGGAAGTCCAGTGCAAATGCCAAAATCAGAGGGCGTGAACCCGAGGAAGAACAAGGCCATCTCTGTCCATTTCCAATGTTTTAGATTCTGATTCTGTCTTCTCTCAATTTTCCTTTTTTAGGCTGAAGATTTTCATGAAGATAGTATTTATGTTCATTATTCTTTTATTAATAACCAAGTATATCTGATTTTTTTCTTTTTTTTTTTAAAGGTAAGAATTATTGGTTGTTGTACAAACCCCAAATAACCAATTCTCTCATGTCTATCTATCCTCTCTCCCCAAACTTCATTAACTTCGTTTTGGTGACTCTTTATAAGATCTGAATTAGACATGTATAATATTAAAATTTGTATATTTATATCATATTTTATATAAAAATTACATATCAAAATTCAAGTTAACACAAAAATATAAAATATATTTTTTTAATTTTTATTAAATCCATATATAATTATTATTACAATTTTAAACATAACATATTCAAATCTTATTTTTGCCATATCATTTAATCGTATTTTAAATTATTAAATCCACGTATATTAGACCGTTTTTATGACCCTCTTCTCTCCAACAAGGTTAAGAAATGAACATTGGGATGGGGGGGACAACTTTTGATTCAAAAATTTTTTTTAATAAAAAAAATCACAGTCCGCCAATAACAAAATGGTTTCAAGTCTTAAAGATATGAATTCGAAACTTATAGATAGGGTCTCTTAAAAGATAATTACGTGAATTAACTTAGCTAAAATCTTGAATTCTTTGATTCAAACATTTTAGAGTCAAAGACTGAGGCACTCGGACAAATCACACTCTAAACAATAAAATGAAGATCTCAACTCCCACGCTCTAATACTATTGAAGTAAGAAAAAAATGGGCATGAATAACGAGTAGGCACCAGAGAAAAATGAAGATTTAAGTTATTCATAACACCCTTGAAAATGCTAGACATTGAAACCAGCAAAGCCATATAAACAAACAATAATGGCATATAATAAGTAAAAAAAAAAAAAAAAGTTGCAGAAGCAGCCACCAAGAAATGAGAGAGGATGAAGGGTGAAGGGAGATGAGATACAATAACCGATAATGCCAATGCATCAATGAGCTCGTGTGAAATGCTTCAAGCTTATGAAATCCTTACATTGCTTTCTTCCAAATCTTCGGATTTGAAAAGAAATGATTGAAGATGTAGCCTTGCACTGGCTGCAGCAGCAAGGGATTCTTCATCTTGCTTCTCTTTGGCTGTAGCAAGAGCAGCAACATAAGCTTGTCTTACTTCTTCCATATTCTGCATCTCCTTGTCATCTAAATCATCCTGTTCAAACCAAAAGCAGATTTCATGACAAGACAAGACAAACAATGAATCCACACTTATATGGTTTTCAAGGTTATTTACAACAAACCAATAATAGCCTTAAAATATAAATACTTTCTACCGACTTTCTCTTACAGCAAATCCAACAGAATGAAGAGCCATGAATAGGGAAGAAAAAGTTTATAAGAAACAAACCTTTATAAATGCTATTACCAAGTTATGCAGAACAGCATATATTTGGATTTTTATTCTCTTCTACGATATATAACAATTTGATATTTCAAACAACATATTTCAGAAATAAAAGCAGGAAAAGTCAAAACAAAATAAGTTGATTTTAGGCATAGGACATGAGCTTACTATATAAGGAAGATGATCCAAATGACATGGTGCTACATCATAATCTTCAGCACGTGTAGTAGGATTATTCTTTGTCAAACCATTTAACAACACCATAAATGATGAAAATTCTCCTTGCATGGAGTCTATATCATTTTGCAGCTTCTCCACCTTTTGCTTAGATGTCATTGCTTCCCACTGTGTCTTTTCCAAGGCAGCCTGCTTGTCTGCAAGCTTAATCTGAGGAAAGGCATATTTATCAATAATGATAAGGGAAGAAGCAGTTCGCAATGAATACATTTAATATTCACATCTCTGTTCAGTAGTCAAATGAATCATAGGTACACAGAAATCACAAAATCAAAAATGAGAACGAGATATTCTGCAACCTTATATGATGGATGAAACTCATTTTTAAATCAGACTAAAAATTTTTAATGATACTCATATTTTAACAACCAATAAAACAGACAATAATTACAAAATCATTCCAAATCTTCCAGAAATATAGTTAATTCTTGTAGTCGTAACGGCTTTTGATATGTCAATTATGGAATAATTTCTCATCCAAACTTTATTTAACAAAAATATAAATCTTACAGCAAATAATATCAATCCACATAAGCTCCAAGTTTATATTCATCTACAACCTTGCTGCCCCCATCAGAGTTTCAAAGATAAATATTGAGAAGGTAATTATGACAAACTAAAATATTATATGAAATGATTTTTTTAAAATGAAAAACATTTCTAGCAGAAAGACATAAAAGACATATACCTTGGCATCAGAGAGTTGCATCTGAATAGACTTGACTAAAGAGTCCCTTTCTCCTAAATATCTGTGCAATTTATCAAGTTCTGCATGAAGATCATTAATCACATTCTTTGAAATCTCTGATGATTTGAGAAGTTCATCTTTCTCCAGCAACTTTCTTTGCAGATCGTCCAGTTGTTCCCTCAATGCAATTAACTCCTCATTTTCTTTTTCCGATGACAAAGCCCTTGAGGAAAAGATTGAGTAGTTGTCACCATCTTGGTTATTACCATCACTCTGGTCTACTTGGTCCTTTTTCTTTCTCACAGGAATGGATTGAGCTGCATTCCTCCCTTTTAGATCAGTAGCCTTCATGAATGGAAAGAACAGAATTATAGCCCATTCATGTAAAGAAAATAAAAGAAAAAAAAATCATCTCACAGAAGAAAAGTTATTAAATTAAAATCTAGGAATATGAGCAAAAATTGATAGTCAAGACAACTTCATATAAAAAATCATGAAAAATTGTAATTGAAACCTATCGAACTCTGGATATATCACAGCCCCCGTTAAAATCTATCAGTAAGATGGTTGCTTTCTCTCTTTTTTTTCATCCCTCCTAGGAACTTAGTTTATGTCTTTGCTCTCCACTGACACAGGCAACTATGACTACCATAGTAAGATCAAAACTTCAATTCGCATGGTGGCATGTTATATACAAGTACAAAAATTGCCATCAAACAGAAAGGAAACAACAAATTTTCTTTAGAGTAGCCAGTATCACTAATGATTAGTGACTACAGGCATGTAGCAACTTATAGACTAGACAACTAAAAGTGGTAGCATAGCCGGAGTAATAACGCATCACATTATAATACGAAAGACACCATTTTCCATTGCCTCTGCCCAATTAAGGCTTGTCAAAACTCCATTGCAGTAACTAGGAATCAGAAAGGAGATCTGACATTCCAATTTTCATAAGTGAAATGCAAAAGCACATAATACCATAACGAAATCGTATTAAATACATATATGCCATTTAGGTCATGTTTAGTACATAAGATGAAGAATAAGATAGAACAATAATTATCCTATATTATGTTTGGTTTGTACCTACAGAAAGGGATAGGATTACAAGGAGCATTCAATCCTCCCAACGTAGAGATTATTTTTAATCCAAAGGATTGAATTTATATGTCCTATTATACCCTTAAAATTACATCAATAATTTAAATTATATAAACTTTGAGAAAAGAAAATTTTGACCAATAAATAAATTATCCTATCCTAATCCTTGAACACATCAAACACAAAATGGTATGATATTATTTAATCTAATCATATTCATAATATCATCTTATCCTATCTTATTATAATCTTGTGTGCCAAACACATCCTTAAAGATTTATATTTGATTCACTCTGCGAATATATAGTTATATACATAATCAGTAAATCACAACAAGGCGTCACATCAACAATTGCGTTTTTTTTTTTTTTTCACGAGTCATGGAAACAGCCTCTTACAAAAATGCAAGGTACACCCTTCCCCGGACCCGCGCACAGCGGCAGCTTTGCACACTGGGCTACCCCTTACTAACAGCAAGCTTTAGTTCATTAACAATTATAAGCCTATAAGGAATGATAATGCAAGCAATATATAACTCCACAATATTTTTAAAATTTAAAAAAAAAACATATTAAATTGAAACAAGGAATGATATATAATCTTACTTTTCGGGATAGGGATTCCCTTGAAGGCGTCTTGGTGTATATAATCGAACCACGCCTTGTAAATGAACTGTTTGCTTTACGCTCCTGATCAAAATCAAATATAATAATAATTAATTAAATTTTAATAATTAATTTCCCGTTCTTTTTCTTTTCACTTTCCATTTTTTAATTTCAAAGAATTAAAAAAATTAACAATAAAATTAAGTAAAGAGAGAGGAGATTACAATGAGGGACTGAACGAGAGGGATCATTTCAACGAGATCATTGTAAAGCACGCGATCCACATTGCCGTTAGAGTGATTGAGTGAGGACTGAGTTCGATGGTGAATCGGCGACGAGTTGCTGATATCTCCTGAAAGCCAGGATTTGGAATCTAAATCCGAATTGTCTTGTAAATCTACGAAGTGATGCGGTTCAAACATTTTCTTTCTTTTCCCCTTTTAAAACTGGAAAAATCAAAAAGAAAATAAGTGTTGGATTCTGAAACTGACAGAGTGAGGCAAGAAAGAGAGAAAGTTGATTTTTTTTTTAAAATTTTGAAAATCGTTTTGGATTTCGTTTCCTTTTACGGATAAAGGATCTTCTTCAAACGTAATTTAGAAGGTAATTTATGAGATTACTTAAATACCCCTTAACGACCATAAATTATAAAAGTCGGCAGTTGAATAAAAATGGTAAAAGAAAAAAGAGCAGTGCTAAATACACTCTTATTTTTTCTTTTCACACACTCTAATTGTTTTTTAAAATTTTTTATAAGTGGAATTATTTCATTATTTTTCTCACAATTTTTTAAAGTTTTATAACTTTTTGAAAAGTTATATAATTTTTAAAAAGTTATAAATTTTTTCAAAAAATCTTTTTGTAAAATTTATAACTTTTCAAAAATTCATTTCTAAAAATTTATGTAAAAAATTAATAATTAAATAATTTTACTTTAAAAATTTTGAAAAAAAAAAAAGCTATGAAAACAAAATGTTGGAGTGCATTTAGCAGCACTCAAAAAATGTAAAAAAATTTCTTTATTTTTTTATTTTTCAATAAATTAAATTTATTTTTTTTTTAAAAGAGAGAGATACACTTATATTTTTAATATATAAAATAATAAAATAAATAATTACGAAATAATATCTTAGATTAAAACTATCATTATCTTATAAGATGTAATTGATCATCATGCATTTATCTTCACTCATTTCCTTTTATTGTCAACGAAAATTAATGTCCTCTAACTTGTGATACAATTTTTTTTCCTTTTTATGTTATGAATAGACATCCAACTCGAAATTTTTTTATCAACTTGAATTATATTGAAGTAACACTAAAAGCCTAAATGAACAGGATATTTGATGAATAATTTATAAAAAAAAATTTAATTCTTGTTTGTTTATTAAATTTAATAAATAATTATAAATAATATTTTAAAATTTATAAATATTATAAAATTTGTTTATATTATGTTCGTTTATATTCGGTGCATAAATGAATCCGGCAAATAATGTAAATAATATCGATTTTTATTTATTTATATTTGTTTATTAAATTTAACTCTAATAATCCATCTTAAAAGTACCCAAATTACCTCTATTTACTCAAATAGAGCTAGAAATATTATTTACTCAAATTAACTCTAGTCACAACAATGATTGATAAGGATGTACCAAGGTACCGACTGAGACATAATTTTTATGTTGATATTGATAAAAGTATTAATTCAAATCTCATAATAAATTTATTTAAAATTGATTAGATATTATTTTATAAATAAAAAATTTAAAAATAATAAATTTTTAATAAATAAATTTAACTTATAAAAGAATTTTAAGAAAAAAATTATTCTTAATGAATAAATTAGTACGCTTATACTTAAGTGAAGTTTTTACAAAATTATATATGAAAAAAATGTAAAAGAGTCAAAAGATTTTATAAGATAAACATCTCGTAAAATTATTAGATATTTATATCTTATGAGTGTGTATGTTTGAATGTTTATGAGTAAACTAAAGAAGATTAAAATGGTTCACGTAGGTATAATATATGGATATATATATATAAGTATATATTTATTTGAGTTGAGAATATTTCATAAAATTAGAAGAGATTAAAAAAGTTTATGGATATCAATTGTTGAATGGTTAATATGATTTTATGTATGTTTGTAATTCTCTATAATTAGTTAATTTTTTTTATCCTTAAACATAAGTCGGTTGGATCAAATTACGTTAAATTATTATCTCTTGTATTTAATTGATTGTTCAATTATGTTTCTATTGGTGTGATTAGATCGAGACTTTTTAACCTCACATATATATAAGTTACAATTTATGGATACCGAGTTTTAGTCTATGGTTTTATTATACTAAATGTTTTGAACTGTCCATTTATTTTATTCATTTTTTTCTTTTCTTTAGACATTATCCTTTTTTAAATATGATCTTTAAACTAATATAACAATTTATGTATTCGAGTAGTGCTATTTTATGTCAAACATATATAAAATATAAAAATTATCATATCATAATTTAGAATAAACTGTCAAATACAAAAATGTTTTTTTGATTTTTTCTAAACCCAATAGGATTTTTATGGACGTATTTTGTTTTTTTTTATATATATATTAGTTTTGTATCATGATAAGTACATTAATTTGCTGAGTCTACTTTAAGCATCCCTATGAATTGTAGAAGTTGCCAAACCTCCATTCGCTCCTTTATCTTCCTGAATGTATTTTAGCTTTTCTTTTCTCTTCATATATGATCAATCACTAGTTTATCATATATATTTGCAGAAGAAAATGCAGAAAACTTTGCTTGCATTTGTCCTTGGCTGCTGATTCAAGGTAGTACTGTTTTAATATTTTAATTTTGCTTCCTTAAATTTGTCTGTTGCAACTATTTTTTTGTCATGTAGGATTACTATTAAGGCAGGTAAGGACATAACTGTTTGATAAAAAATTGGAAAGGATTATGATTATCCTATTGGAATGTGACAAATGCACAAATCCACGATCAAAAAATTTGCAAAATTCCTTGTGCTGGGTTTTTATGGCTATGTAAGTGCATTTTCTCCGTTGGGGTTCTTTAAAGTTTTGTGCCAGGGAGATCATTTTTCTGATTCATTCTTCACAGTGAATAGTGAATTTTGGTTACTTTTCCATGTCATTCCCATCTGATATGCTTTTGTTTCTTTGATCCTTTAAACTTTCTTTGTGTTTCATGATTATTGCTTCTTTAAAGGTGGCAGGGCGTCTTCTTTTCTAATGATGAGTTAGGCTATTGTGGTTCAAGTGGTGCTTAGGGAATTTAGGCTCCAGGTCTTTGCTCACTTTGTTAGTGCTTTATTTCACAAAAAATCCTCACTTCATAGCGTTGCTTGCAGCTTGTTTGCTGAAAAATGACATGGGTGTGGACAATTTTAAACACGAAACGGTGACATGATAAAAAAAATATATGAAAAAGGATAAGAAAGCGGCACAGTTTAAAATTATGTCAATTTTGGTTGCTGCTTTGTTGAGTATGCAGAGAACAATGTCTTTCCTTGGTGATTGTCACTGTGATATATAATTTGCTCATAAATTGTTTTCTGTATGTACAGATTTCACCAATATTTGACGATTGTCCTACATACAATCATGCAGGGGATGATCTAGTCTCTAATTTTCAGTTGATGGAACATATCAACCTTCATTCAGAGATGTGGCAGACTTGTTAGTGAGTACACAAACAAGCTGTAAACATTCTTCATATCTCATCAAATTTGTTATGGAATCTGACCTTTATTCATTTCAGCCAGCTGCTGGGTTTAGGTAGCTGCAGATATTTAATAGAACAATGTGTTTTTTTATAAAAACTAATGCCAGCAGAAGAACACTAACTTGAAAGCACCTTTTATACTGTGAACTTTGTTACCAACGAGGCATTGATGCTTGCACAAAATTCCTTTCTTCATTGTTTTTCCTTGTTTGATTGCCAGTAAACTCTTTATGGAATAGATAGAGTTTCAAACACTTAATGTCTTTACAGCAATCGATGTCATAAAATTTGGTTTTTCTAGGAATAACTGCATTGATCCTCATTGATGGATCAATGATGATACTACTGAAGCTATCTATGCAGTACCATCAGATTTACTGAATCATTCACTTTCATCAATCTAAAAGGGTATAATTAACTGTGTTATGTATCAGATTTGAAACTTAATTGGTCACATTTGTTTTTCTATATGAGAAGTGACTAACTATTTCCAGATTTCAGTATGCATATTCCATCATGTCTTTCTAACTTTTTTACTCTCTAAAATATCTTTCCTTCCTCTTTTTAGTAATGCATTTATATAGAATCCATGCTCATGCTTTAGGCTCTGAAGTCTCTGCAGGGATGAGAGCATTTAAGGTGAAGATCAATATAGAGTTAAAAGACAAAAGGTAGATGGAGTCAAGAACCATGGAATTAATGATTTTATGCCTTGGAAGAATCCAATACAGGAGGTATCATATACTGCAAGTCCTAGCGAAGCAGAAAGAAGTAGGGAAGACAACGAACTTCGTAATACTAGTGAGACCTTTTTGGCATCTGATCATGCGCCAGAGCTGGTTGTTTTTCTTCAAGAGAGTGATTATCAGTCAGTCAAGGATATTTTCATAGACAGGGCAGTTCTTCCATGGAGTGGATTGAAGTCTATAAAGATATATCTTCCAAGTTTCAGCAGGATGTGGATGGCGACAGCAAAGAACCCAGAAAAACTCTTAGGACAATGTCATCCAGTTCCAATGAGATTGAACAGGACTTTCAGAATTATGTAAGGAAACAACATGCTCTTAAGAACTTAATGAAGGATGGTGAAGAAAATTCTGATGGAAGAGATGATCATTTACTTGATAAGTCCTCTGACAAGATGATTCCTGGGATGCAGTGTATCAAAGAGGTAAGAAGCAACATTCTCCCATGCTTATAATTCTTTAGTACCTAAGACGAGCAAAAATAATAATTTTATCAGAAACAAAAACCAAAAGTTTTGTAAAGAAAAGAAAACAAAAGAATTCCCAATCCATAGAAAAGGCAATATTGGTGACATTGAAGAAGAGTTTCAAAGGATAGTCTCTAGAACTACTATTTTTGTTGCAGGTTTTCACATACCATTGTCTGCCAGTACATGCAAGCAGAAAAACTAGTTTCTTTTACAGGATTGCTTATGCTTTTGTGCTGTGTTCAACTATTATTGGCAATGATGACCATCAATCAGAAAAAAATGATTGAAACCTTAATAAACTCCATTGTTTATGTGTTTTTCAAGCTTTGTCAAACCTGGAGGGCGAAGTTGAAACATGATTCTTATTATAGGTTAGTAATTAGAGATTGCCGAATTTCATCGAACATACTATTAGTTGTCACCATAAATTTTATGCTACGGAAAAGTCCTAGTTATGGCAATGTTGTCTAAGGTGAACAGCGGTAAAATATATAGAATAAGTATTTTCTTGAGTCTTGACGAAAGATTTAGGTATTGTTCTTTGTGTTATTTTTACCAGCTGGATATTATTAGGGTCAATGGTGAGTACTGCATCTCCAAACGGTGACATTGCAT